GCGTGAGCAGTGCCAGCCAGCTGCCAGGAGCCAGCCCTGGGAAGGCCACCGTTGGAAGGCTGAGGTTCATCTCACTCCTTCCCCAAGGACCTCACTTCAGCTTCTGAAATTCCATCTCTCCCTTCTATACCTGTGTTTTGCTGACCTTCTCCTTCTGCCAGAAGCAGGGATTGAAGTAAATCAGCTGCTCTGAATACCTGGTTTGCATGTGCAAAGACTGCCTGGCAAAGCACTGCTCTTGCTTTTGCTCATGCAAAATCTTGACATAACCTCTTGCAAATGCAGCTTGAGCTGCCCCCCAGCTGACTGAGGAGGATGTGGCTGGGTCAATCCACCTCTAACTGTCCGCCTCTCTCTGCAGGTAATAGGGAGCTCTCTCCTCTTCATTCACGACAAAAAGGAACAAGCCAAAGTCTGGATGATCGACTTTGGGAAAACCACCCCGCTGCCCGAGGGACAAGTTCTCCAGCACAATGTGCCCTGGGTGGAAGGGAACAGAGAGGATGGCTACCTCTGGGGGCTGGACAACCTCATCCAGATCCTGACAGACTTGGCCCAGAGCGAGGACTTGCATTAAAGCCTGCGTCCGACTCTTCCACTACCCAAACCTGCCCCCAACTGACTCTTCTGAACTGCACTACAAGACACTTTCCAACCCTCGTCCTTCCAATTTTAAATCTATACTCTCCCTATTTAAGGTGGTTTTGTTGTGGTTTTATTATTTTTTTAGGGTATTTTTCCCCCTGCTACATGTAAATACAAAGCTAACCTGCCAGAACAAATGCTGAACTTGAAACCTTGGCTTCACAGAGTCAGTGGCAGCCTTGGTGGGGCTGGTTAGATGGGCATGTGCTTTTGCCTTTTGTGCAGCTTGGTTTTCAGGGAACCTTCCTCCCAGCTGGCTGTGGATCAGGGATGCTGCAGCCAGGCTCTGTGGTGCTGAAGGGCCCTCCCTACTCCAGCTTCAGAGGCTTCATCCCAAAAACACCTCTGCCTGGGACCCTCCCGTACACAGGGGGCATGAGCAAGGCTTGGAGTTGGTGAAGGGTTTTTGGTGGGGGGTATCCTGTAGCTGCCTTTGCCAGCACCTTTTGCCCTAGTAAACTGGCTGTGCTGTCCTTAGGAGTCACTAGGAAGGCAGGTTTGGGTTTTTCTCTTTGTGTTGGAGCCATCCACTTAACTCTGTGGAGGCTGCTCCACCATTGATGAGTTACTGCAGGGCCATGTGCTGGGTGCAGGGACCTATCACGGCCAGGTGCAGACCTCAGCACACTCCTGAATGCAGTGGCATGGGGGTGATGCCACAAGTCCCTTGATGGAGATCCACCTCCAGCTCTCTCCAGTAAGCATTTCCAACCCTCTGCAGGGAACAAAGGCTTTGCTAGGGCTGTAGAGAGAAAAACAGCATAGAGGAGACCACTGAAACCTAAGGCATCCAACCAGGTTGGCTGCTCTTCTTCTGGTGCATGCTAAGGGCTGTGCTGCTCTAAGGGATGTGCTGCCGTGCTGCCAGCACCTGCTCCTGGCCAGGACCTCTCTCCTGCCTGCAGCACCTCCAGCATTCCCTTAGGGCCAGTTTCGTGCCCAGCAGGCAGGGGCGAGGGGGTTACAGGGACAAGCAGCGTTCAAGGTGCCATTATGGTCTCGATCAGCAAAGCAGGGAGGGAGGCACCCCTGTGCCTTCCCTTTTTTTTTTTTTTTTGCAATGCTTGCAGGCTCTGCTCTCGGCAGAGAACTCCCCAGTCCGCGTCCGGCCTCCCTGCTCTGAGTCCTGTGAAAACAAGCAGTTCCCTATTCAGGGTGGAGGCTATTTTTTGACTTCCTGGAACATTTGAACTAAGCAGCTTGCTCGCATCAGCGCTGGCTCACTAAAGGTCAGCTATTGACAGGCGGCGGGGCTCAGCTGCAACCCCAGGCCCCGCTCATCTCTCTGCAGGGCCGATGCTCCGGGGCCGCCCCCTGGCACCGCTCCCTGCTGCACGTCGGTTTCTGGCAGTGACAATGGGGACCAGGCCATCAAGCCAGTCACAGCCGTGCCCCGGCCTCTGTCCCTGGTATTGAGGTCCTCAAGGTTTACTTCAGCCCGTAGCTCTCTGTTGGAAATGGTCGCAGTGCTGTAGCTCTTTTTCAGGCTTTTGGGAGCAGCCCATGCAGAAGTGCCTTACAGACTTGCCTCTGCTCCTTTAGTGTCACGGAAAAGGTTGGGTTGGTGGTTTGTTTGTGTTCTTTTTTTTAAGTTATATTTATTTCATCCCATTTTAATTGCACAAAACACTAAAAATGCATGGAATCCCTGTTGTTTTAACTGTCTTCTCAGTTTTTAAACCATCCCTTTTCCAGCTTCGGAGAAAGGATTTGAACAGATACGCTTAGATATGTACCAGTTATCGCTGTACTTTAGCTCTGAGTTGCTCTTATATATATATATATATTAATTTTTAAGCCTGTTTATAAACCAGATCCCTCACTTGGTGGCTTCAGAAGAAGCAGACTGTTTCTCTCAGATGCCGTTCCTGGAGGCCGGGATGGTTGTTGTGAGCTGCTCCCCACCTCCCACCTCCCCTTTGGACCATTGGGTAACTGCTCTGGAACACCAACGCACAGTGCCTGTACCAAACTCCTGTAACGTTCCCAATAAAGGCCTATGGGAAGCAGCCTCTGGCGTGGCTCTGTGTGTGTGCAGCTCACAGTAGGGCTGGGTTTGCTGTCCCTGTGAGCGCTCAGCCTGGAGAACCCGGCAGCATTTCTGCTGCTCACCACGGGGGCCCTGAAGCCAACTGTGGGATGACTTTTGCTTAGGAACATGAAAGCTCTTTGTATCCAAAATAATTCCTTGTAGCAGAGCTGGCTCTGCTCTAACCTCCCCCAGCGGTTTCGGGTTTGCTGCGCTCCTGCAGCGCTGCTGCCGCCCCCTGGTGCTGTGCTGGGACTTCAGAGGGCTTCCAAAGCAGCCTCCAAACAAACCAAACTGTGCCTCAAAATGCAAACTTTATGGGTCAGCAACAGCTCCTTAACCCTGTTCCACAGAAACCTCCACTCATGCTGCCTGTCTTCAGGTAATTCTCGTCTTAATTATCTAATTAGGTAGCACCTGTGAGAATGAACTTCCTATAAATCCACTTGTGGTGGGGGTGCTGTGGGTTGTGTGTGGTTCAGTAGTTTGGGGGCTGGGGCTTCCTGAGGAGCTGCTTGGCTCTCCTACAACCCTAAGCTGAGCCTCTGGGAGCTGAGGGGGCATCAGGTAAAAGGCTTCAGTTCCTGCCACGTGAGCACAGCTGACTAAATGAAGGTGGAGGAAGGCTGGGGAGAAAGCCAGCTTTGTGGCTGTTTGAGAACTTGCAAGTTCTTTGCTAGAGCTGTAAAGCTGAGCTACCTTTCCATCTGTGTGTTGCAGCAATCCTGGATATGGAGAGCCCTCATGGCCCTCCCTGCAGGTTCCTCCCTGAGGAGCTATGGAGCACAAGGGGAGGTTGCAGCTAAGGCAGAGAGAAAGCCACAGGAGGTGCCTGCTGTATTTGTTCTCCAGAGAGATCTGAGCTATGTTTACTGCCAATGCTCACACAAAGCAGCATCTCCTTGGAGATCCTGTACAAGGTAGGAAGAATCTCTGCTGGTTCATGAAAAGTTACTGACTAACTTTAGGCTTTAGAGAGTTCTAGGTGAATGTCCACTTTCATTCCTGTGAGCACCATTTAGAGTGGAACTGCTGTGATAGCTAGCTATTGCTTGGTGGGGGGTCTCAGGGTGGATGGGCCTTGCATAGAAGACAGTTAGTAGCTGTGCTGCTTGTTCTGCAAACACGTGCTGTCATTACTATTCTAATATTAAGGCTTCTGACCGCTTTCCTATTTGGACTGTGCACACCATCCTATCGAACTCCACCTGCTGGATGATCTCCACACAGCAGGCTGAAGAAGCTTCATTGCTGTCAATACACCACCTAGATACAGCAATAAAGTTGTTTGAATGATAGACTTAGTTTTCACACTTCTCCTTCCCACCAATTCGTCAGTACTACAATCAAGTGAAATTATTTGGTAAACTATGTCTTTATTAACGTGTCAGGTTAATGGGCCACATTCATAATACTCCCCAGCTTTCAGCCTCTAAAAGTAGATGTACAACTGGCATAAAGTCCCTTGCAACTCTAAAAGAATACCAACTCCAGAGAATGTCAATTGTAAGCTAAAGTAGTGATGGTTTGATAGTTGCACTAAATGGTCTTAATGGCCTTTTCCAGTGTTCATGATTCTATAACTAATGAAGGTGAAGCCCATCTGTGTGCCACTTGAATTCTCTGCTTGCTACTCTTTTCAGCAAACTTACTCAAACTGTGATAGATTCTGATTAAGCTGGAATGAAGTATCAGTATTCTGATACTGATATGTGGATATTCTTACTTATGTACAGAAATAATGACTTCTGTCTTTGCAAGTGGAGGAAGAAGTAACTGAATTTGTTTGCAGGTGAAAGGTAACAACTCAAGATTATTTTACAGTACAGAACTTAGTGACTTCATTTTATACAAGTTAAACATTGAAACGGAAGCTGACAGTATATTTTCACCCATCATTTCCAAATAGCAAAAAACATATCAAGTTAGATCTGTGTATTTGCTGATGTATGTATTTGATGATGCTGTATTTGATGTTCATATGAAGAACAGTACTTAGTGACAAATCTGTCTATTATGATCCACCATCCTTTAGGAATAATTTGAAGATAATACACAGTGATATACACAAGACTTGCCAATAATACTTGGAGCAGTCTGTGCTACTGAAATACTGGGAAATGAGTTAAAACTGAGTAACTTAATCAAATAGGGAGAGCATGTACTACTTAATACTTAGAACTGCTGCTCAAATACTTCTCTGGGAGGAAAAAAATGAACATCATTTTATACAACTGATGTAGCAGAGGCACTAAAATTCCCTGCTGCATGCAGATTATCACTTCAAAATGTAACAAAGTACATGAAGGATACCTGCACTGACAACTTTTATAGGAGCTCAAAATCAACTTTTATTTCTGATGAAGAAGTTTATCTATTTTTGCCAGATCTCCCAATGAAACTGTCGCAGAACCTCTCTGTGCAGGTTTTGCCTAAGAGGAAAAGAAAACAGAAGGATCATCTCAAGATATTTTATAAGAGTCCTTTTAAAGCGTAAGAAATTTAAAATGCACCTTCAAATAGAAAATAGTTGAGCTTCACATTACCTGTGACTCGTGGAATTTCCATCCAATCATGTAGAAGATCTGAAAAGTGGCAGGTACTGAGCCATCACCATTGCCATACATCTCTGCCAGAAAAAGAAAACGTAGGCAGCAGCAGTGTTAGGAAATGATTCGTTTGTCAAACAGCAGAACTAAGCACGGCACGTTCTCATAATGGATTGTGGGGAAAGATTTGGGACAATAATAGTATCACATACTGATATATTAACAAAGTTCAAATTGTCACTAATTAAGGTTAAAAATATATATATCAAGAGAGTATTTGTTTTTACAGAGAGGGCAGAGAAGAAGACAAGGCGTCATTAGAGTCATTTTGGGTTAACTCTTCCCCTATTAAATGCATACCTTGGTATATTGCTGCAGCTGCCAACATTGTATCCCTGTGTAGCAGAGGTTTTCTATTCCAAGAGCAATTACTTTCTCCCATACCTAAAAATATGTTTTAGCTTTAAGAAAAATATATATATACCATGAGTTTCATGCAGATTTTTCTTAACTAAATAACTACAGCATCCTCTGAATCTCACTGTAAGAGTACAATCTACAGCAGCAAAGATTCTTACTTTTGTGATTCCAAACCTCTTAATGCCAATGCTTTGCAATGAACTGTTTGTATTGCGAGGAATGATTTTAGATTATTACTTTTCAGTCAGAGGCTTCAAGCATTTTGTTCCTCTAATGTAACTTCTATCAAGCACACAAAGTGTTTATTGAAAGACATCACTTTGTTTTTTTTCCAAATAGGTAATAATGAAAATAATTACCCCAGAAGATCTAATCCACATCTACTGTTATACAATTCTCTTTAATCACTTACTGCATCCCAACATTTCTGCAGACAATGGAAGTTTTATTTTCATTAAGGAATTAACTCCACATCTCAGGAGATGATCCTTGACTTGTTCCCTGAGTACTGACTGGGTATGAACAGCTACTTTGTAATCCATGACAGCTGCATTTATAACCCTATCCTAATTGCTAAGAACCTCAATTTTTTTTGTTCTCCTGCAGTCTCCAGTCTGTGGGTTTATCTAGGCTTGCTCCACAGCACTGTCCTGAGCATCATGTTACTTAGGCTCACAGAAAAAGTCATTCTGTTGGATGTATGCTTCTGTCTTCCTCTCAGGATTTTTCAGCAGCTTATGCTGAAGAGGCTCACAAAGAACAGGAATAAAACAGAAGCAGAAAACTCACAGGAGACAAATTACAAATCTTCGACTTTCACTTGCCAATGGGGATCTGCTGGTGAGTTCACTGTCCTGACTTCCTAGGTATCAGGAAAAAAGTAATGCTTCCACTACTACAACAAGCTTTATTTGGAGTCAAGAAATAAACACTAACTCTTCCACATCTGCTGATACACTCCAGAAACAAACATTTTCTGTATACTTGCCTTGCAAGTCTTCCATAACCTCAAATAACCCTGGATAGTTTACTTGAATTTCATCAGTATCCTAAAAGAGTTCAAAGGCTTAATTTTAGGACATATCAAATTTAGACCATAGCATTATGTTAACTTTCAGTGCCGGCCACTTCTGCTCAGATAGAATATTACTCAAAATATATACTCAGTATTTCTGAAGAACTGTTTAACAGCTTAAATACAATCAAGTTTTAACTAAAGTGCTGTTAGTTTCTTCTAAGTTTTAGAAGAAGCAGCAAGGGCATCATAAGTTCTTCCAAGTAAATGTAACATACTCTGACACCCTTGCCCATATAGATTCTACTGGGCCACTACTAAAGATACATTTCAGTTGGTTTTTTTTAATCACTGCACAACCAAAAATTGAGCAGTCTAGGCTATTTCAGAAACTTATTCAGCTAAGTGCACTACATGCAAAAAAAAGGAAGCACTGTTACTAGTGCACCTGAAATAGTATCTCTTATACACCTGCAGCTCTGAAGTTTTGGATTATTCTGATTGTTCTTTTATTCATAGTTACCACAGTCAGTGTGTTAAACCCAGCTCTTGACAGGAGATGTCCCAAATCTGACACAGCAACAAATGGTGACACATGAGGAGAAAATCCCCCTTCTCTCTCCAATTCTGCTAGCTGCAAAGAGCAGCGAAGCTCATACAGAGTGTCTCCCCCAAACATTGCGCCAATGAAGACTCCATCTGGCTTAAGAACTTGGTGTATCTACAACACAGAAGGAAAACGAAACTACTCTGCTGTTAATAGCAATTAAATTCCTGGGTGTTGTTTTTTTCTAAAATGAACTTAAAGCAATTATTATAATGGCTTCAATACATTTATAATATTGATGCTATTGCACAAAAGGAGCTACAAAAACATCTTTTGGTAATGTTGCAAGATATATAATCTCTTCAAAAAAAGAGACATTACATTACAGTCTCTATTTTTCCTATTTCATAACAGGGTACCCCTATTTGTACAAAGAGGTGACAGGATAGCACTGCTCTGATTGACATGTTTGAAATAAAGGAGGAAACCAAACGAGGAGAAGATATTCCTTGCTCTTGCTCCAAAGGCAGACAATTTGAAACGCAGCTTTCACCCGCAGTAAGAAGTTTGAATAATCCCAAATCTGATTTCTTCCATAACACTTGCAGTTTTTCCTCCTCAACAAATATTCACTTCTGTTAAGGATCAAAAAGCCTTTATCTGGTTCAAGTTGTATTTCAAAACAAATACCCAAGGTAGGTAAACATGGAATACAAGTTCCCTAAACCAGGTATGGACTAGTTTGGCTTAGAAAACTAATAAGTACAACAGACAACAAAATCAACAGCATTGCCTCAGTTTGCATTAGTTCTTATGATCTCAGCAGTTATGACTGTTATGACTACTATACAAACATGTTTTGTAGTTATCCTAAATTGAATTGAGACAGCAAGCTAACAGAAGCACCAACTAATAGCACTCAAACTGACAGGAAGATTACAAAAAATAGCCGAGTGTCACACGAGTTATTTATCAGGTAGGAAGTGGTCAAAGCTTTGAGTGTGAGCAATGATAAGTGTTGTTTTTTTATTTAAAAAGTTGTATTAAAAAGAAATTCTCACCTCTCTAAAAGCTTTAGGAAGGTCGTTCACCCAGTGTAAACTGAAATACCAGAAATGGACATTTTGTAATTGCACAATGAAATTTGCAGGAAGGCAAAAAAATGTTATACATAATATATACATACAGGTGTTAAGTTAACAAACAAGTTCTCAGCCTGCCAAAGTTCTGAAACACTCTCAGATGAAGCGTGGTGACACTGAGTGAAAATGTAAGTTCATATACATAGCTAAGAGGTTGTTGTGTTGGCTTTTTTAAGGACTTGAAAAGCTGCAAATCAATTCATTAATCAATATACAGGAAAAAGAGATGTGTCCATGTGTTCTCATAGAATGTTATGGATCGGAAGGGACCTCCAAGCCCATCCAGCCCCAGCCCCAACCCCAGCCATGGGCAGGGCTGCTCCCCACCAGCTCAGGCTGCCCAGGCCCATCCAACCTAGCACTGAGTGCCTCCAGGGATGGGGCACCACCGCTCTGCACAGCAGTGCCAGGGCCTCACCAACCTCTGAGCAAAGAATTGCTGCCTAACATGTAACCTATCCCTGCCGTTTAAGGCACTGGTTTTCTGACATCAATGTGAAAGAAATATATATATATATATATGTAAATGAAGTGTAAATGAGCGATCACCTCAAGCTGCTCACAACAAGATCAAACGTGTCTTCTTTGAAAGGCAGGAACTCCTCATCAGCCACCACGCTGACTGTAGGGATTTCGGACTCCACAGCGTTTTTCTAAGGTCGGGTTCGGGATAAAAAGCATCACCAGCAATGCACCGTTTCTGCATCACGGCCCCGAAGCGCTTCAGCCCTCACAGGGCTACTTACGAAAACATTCTCCGCAATATCGACCTGAACGAGTTTTTCAACGACCTCCTGAAACGAGAAGCACGCCAGTCAAACGCGTGCGTGCCGCCGGCGGGCGCGGCGCAGAGCGCCCAGCGGGACGGCACCTCCTCGGCGCTCCGTACCCGGTTCAGGTGCCGGGCGATGTAACCTCTCCCGGAGCCGAGGTCCAAAGCCAGACGGAACGTCCTGCGGGACGAGCGCGACAGCGTCAGGCGCCGCGACAACGCGCCGCGCCTGCCGCTCGAGGGAAACGCGCGTACCTGGGGATGTCGAGCACCCGGTCCGCCACGCCGCCGCCGACCTACGGCAGGGAGAGCCTCCCGTCAGCGCCGCGCCCCGCCCGGCCCGGCGCCGCGCCGCCCCGCCCCGCACCTCGTCCCGCAGGTACTCGCACTCGGCCGGCCGCGGCCGCAGCGCCGCCCAGTTCTTCTGCTTCCGCTTCAGCCGCCGGTCGAAGGGGCTCCGCGCGCCCGGCGAGGCGCCACGAGGAGGGGGGACGGCCGCGCTCCCCGTCCGCGCCCAGAGCCGGCCGCAACCCTGCGGGGCGGGCAGGACGGGCCGCCAGAGCGCCCGCGCCGCCGCCATGCTGCCGCTCGCCTTCTGAGCACGCGCGGGCCCCGCAGCCGCAGTTCTGCCGCCTCGTGGAAAGCGGTGAGAAAAGCGATGTAGAGCGTTGTCTAGGTGGGGGTGAAGGGGATGCTTAAACGAGTGGTGATGAATGAGCTGAACTGCTTCTAGCGGGGACACCTTGATGGGAGACGCCCCTGGTGGAGATGAGGTGAAGTGGTTCTGTGTGTGAGAAGTTACCGTGGAGCAGCACTGAGGTGTGCGCTCCCGTCAGTCCGTTGTAAGCCTTCGGAACAGTTCGTGGAAGTGTTCTTTATAACGGGTTTTGACCTTACTGAGTACAGAATGCAAGTGATGATGAAATGGAGTCACGGCCTGAAGCAGGGATGGAGCACTGGTGGGGACGCAGGGCCAACCTAGGGGAGCTGAGGCGCGTGCAGTGCACCTGAGCGACCAGAAGGGTTGCAGCCAGGATCCATCCCTTCCCAGGCCTCATTTAAGGGTTGGCAGTGGAGGCAAGGGGATCTCTGGAGATCCCTATGTGCCTGGGGCTTTCTAAAGGTGAGTGGTTTCTTTCCTTTATTTCTGTGCCCATAGCTGCTGTGTTTGAGTAAATCTTCTCATGCTGCAGCCTGGGCCTTGCAGCTCTGCTGTCACTGTTGCACTTTCCATTGCGTTACATCCTCTTTGAAGAGGGCTGTAGTAAGATGGGTGAAGTTATGGTTCCTGTTAACCTGTCCCTAAGCATTCTAGTTTTTAACTGTCAGCATGTTTATTCCTTTGTCCTTTCTTAAAGTTAAGAGGATATTAAAGTTTATGGGACTGATCCCTTTATCATTTTCCTCTAAAATGAGTGAATTGTAAAAGGCTTGGTGAGAATTTTTACTTAATTGGTGTACAGAATTCTACTGGAGTTGAAATTTATTTTCATATAGTTTTTGTGGATTTATCCTTTGGAGGTTGGGAAAGAGAGATTGGAAGAGGAGGAATGATAAGGACCTGCAGAGCTGATCTTCCAGGGAATAGCACAGAGAAAGACTTATTAATCTTCAAATCAGAGATACAAGTCCAGTTCTCAGTGAAGATCCTAATTAGCTTTTTTTGTTACAGAACTTCATTTGTTGGAGTCTCCCATAGCTTTTTCAGGGAATGTTTTAGAGCTCACCCTGGTTCAGTGTCAACGTGTGTAATATATGCATTACGATTAAGATTAAAAAAAAAGTCCTTACTGATAAGAGATATCAAAAATCTTGTTATGTAAAAAACAAACAAACAAACAAAAAAAAAGCCCAAAAAAAAACACCACAGTGTAAATGCATAGAGAGCTTAATAAAGCATTTTTCTCTACAAATTGCCATTCATGCAGGAAAACTCTTAGTTGTTCACTCCTAGTATTTTTATCTGTGTAACCAACAGGAACCATAACTTAGCTCAAGAATTCCCAGGCAGAGATTCCTTAAATGCTGCCAGCAGCAGCCCTGTCAAGCTGAGCTCATCAGGACTACCGTAGTCCAGGCTTCTTCAGGCATGTCTTTTGTTTTCTTTCTTTTGTTCTGCTTGCAAGTCTTCTCTATATGGAACTTAAGAAGTTTTGCTTTAATATTTTTCTAGAATTTCCAGATGTTTAGCAGTCTAACTGGAGCCAGTTTTGTATAATGCATCCCCCTGGACTGCCCTATATTTGAGCAATCTGGATACTTCTAAAAGAAACGTAAATATCTTGAAAAATTCTCTGGTGCATCAGGGAATTGTATGATGAACTTAGTTCGTGCTGAAGTCAGCTTCACTGAGGTGCCTCAAAGCTTTGGATTTACAACTCAGTGGGATATGCTGGAATAGTTATAACTATTGGAAATCCAGATATTGCAGAGTGATACCTGTGTGCATACCTTTAAATTCACGGGCCAGGACCTCAGCCTTGTGATCTGTCTCCTCTGTCTATCCACTGAGCCATTCACTTATCAACCTCTTTTTTGTTTTGCTGTCACCATCAGTGACAAAACCACCACCTGTGCTACCACAGTTAGTATCCTGATGCTCTTCCTCAGCCCTATCACTTTCTTATTTATCACTACTATGCTGTCTTTATCCCGCTTGAGGATCTTACAGCCTTGCAGTTAGTGCCATGCTCCTAACAGGCAACCTTATTTACATATGGAAACAGTCTTTCATCGTCCTTGCCAGGAGTTAAGATGGCAGGTGGTCAGCTCACCTAAATAGGCTCAGACACCTTGAAATATTAGATGTCACTTTCTGTGGCCTGCATAGGTGCATGTGAAGATGCCATCTGTATGCCTTGTGCATGGACTCACCTCCCAGTGCCTGTAGGAGGCAGAGTCAGATAGAGTTGTTGCTACATCACATGTTCGAGTGATTTGAGCACTGCTAGTAATTAAAAAAACAACGAGAATTTAATAATTTCAGTCCTAGTATGATAGCTGTTCGTGTGGAAAATACTGTTATAAAAGCACTGACCACCACCTCCGTTACTCAAACTGTGTGAATTGCTCTTTTGAGTGAAACTGAATAGATAGTTAGGGTTTCATGCTGTTTAACATCTAATCTTAATGAAAGATGGGGAGAGTGTTTCAGTGGCACACATTTTGAATGAGTTGAATTAAAACAGTTTGCAGATGAAAACTTGTTTAAGCCAGCTCACTTGGTGGTGCTGCTTTCTGCTTTTGCAGGCTTTACAAGGAAAACTGAAGGAGCATCAGTTGAAGTGACTGAAATCCTTCTATGCAGATGTAGAACATGACTTTCTGAAACAGCTGGTAAAATTTACAAGAAATGCAGATTGGAATTTGAAAGTAGTTCTTTTGTTGACTCGAAGTGAATCTAATGGCAGCTTTCTTATGTATCCTTGGGAAGGAGAGGCTGCTAATTTAAAACTGTTCAAAAATAATATGGGCTAAAAAATATTTATTGTATATTTTGCAACCAAAATGAGATTTTTTTTTTTAAATTTTTTTTATAAATTCAACATGCATTGAGTTGTCAAGGTATTGGGAATATAGTGTTTATTGTTTATTTATTCATGGAGTATTTTTATGTAGAAATGGAAAGTTTGAGTGCATCACTGCACAGGGAAAGCGTTCTCAGGAAAAATATTCTGATTGCCTCTTCAACCTATTGGTAAAATTAAGTGAAAATTAAGTGAAAATTAAGTGAAGATGCTGGTTGAGAATGCAGAACTACGTACTGCTCTTGTGAATTTTTTCAGCCGAGGGTCTAGAAGTAGGGTTTTTTTCCTTTTTTTCCTGAATTGCTTACTACAGAGCAAGAGTATAGCTGCTGTTGTTCTGAAGCTGCAATAGATCACTGTGCTCGTCCCTGTGAACGAGCTGGAAGCTCTAATATTTCAAAAGTCACGTTTGGGAAAGAAAGAATTTAAAATTATAGTTGTGCTTCGTTCCTAATGTTTCCTCTTCTTATGAAAAAGCCTTCTAGTCTGAGCAGAGGAGAGGTTACTAAATCACATGAAGATCTGACAGAAGCTGCCTTTGCCTCCTGGAGGCCGTGCTATGGGCACACTTGGAAACCATGATAGATAAGTTCCATGCTGAATGAACGTGTAACTTTTCGTGCTTCTCACCGTAGAAAGATAACATCCTACAGCAGATGGCTGTTTGAAATTCCCAAGTGCTTTTTCTGATTTTCCACTTCATTACATTTTAATGTTGAATAATATTCATCGTGTTACATTTGCAAAAAAAACAAACAAACAAAACAAACAAAAAAAAAAAAAAAACCAGAACAAACAAACAAACAAAAACCCATGCAACCTCAAGTAGTTTCTCATGTAGTGCATTTCTTTTGTTTCCTCTTCAGACTTTCTGACTCTATATTGTAACATTCTTTTGTGCACGTTCCATTTTTGTGAATAACTCAGGCTGTTTATGCTATGAAGTTTCCCACTGTCTTTGTATAAAGCATGTTTTATCTGCCTTTAAGATTTATTCCAGATAAGTTACATGTGATGGTAAGCCAGAAGATGTAGCCTCAGAAGTGAGTGTATGTGTGTGTAAGCCAAAGTAGTTCACGTCTGCTGCAATGGAACATCAAAGCTGTCTTTACAATGTTTTCATAATGTTAACAATGTTTTTCTAATTTGTTTAGTTTTATTGTCAGCTTATAAATGATGAAAGTAGTGGGGAAAACCTTTCTGCTTATCTTCACCTTTTCATAATAGAAACATCAAACATGCTACAGGATGTAAGCATGTTACACAACTGCAAGTTGTGACTCCATAAATAAGCTCCAGTTTTGTTGTTGGTTGTTTTTTCTTTTTAAGAGATTCAGCTTCTTGGTTACAAATTGAAAACTACATTTTGACCTCATTATACCTCTGTTGACGTTGCACATGAACTCACTTTGTTATCCACAATTAAATCTTGTAATTTGCTGGAAATGGATATTTGGGCATAGTTCAATAAGAGCCTTTTGGTGGTGGTGTCAGGCTTAAACTGTTGCTTCCCTTCCTTGTAGCAATCCATTCTTGCTCTGTCTCATGTGACAGCCAAAACATTCTTCTGGCCATGAAATGAAGCAGATTGGAGAAGTGATTAGTTGAGAAGTAAGTAATTTCTGTGGGATCATTTGTCAGACACGTCTCATCTTCGAGGTGCCGTTGTGCAAACGCTGTTATTGTCCCTGTTGCAATCCACTCATGATTCCAGGAATGAGTTTGTGCTGGAGGAGAGGGGACAAGTTGATAGCTGCTGCTTCAGTATCACTGCTGCCACAAGGAAAATTCTGCCTGTGGAGACTTAGTGTTCTGTGACCTGATGTTACAGAACCCTTCAGTGCAAAAGGAGACTTCTTCACTCTCTCATGTAGCTGAAACTCCTGCTTTTTTTTTTTTTTTTTTTTTTTTTTTTTTTTTTGGTGGAAGAAATTGAAGTTGTGATTGAATGGATTTTAATAAGTGGTTGTTTTAGGTATTGTTGTGGAGCACATTAGTAGCAGCTTTGCGTCGCTTCTGAAACGGAAGGCATATTTAATTTTCCTCTAAAAAC